TCGGATTTCACTTTAACAAAGTCACATCGTCCGCACACGGTGCCATTTCACAGCGGTGAAGCGCGGCGGCCATCTTCGCGCACGTTGCGCGAATTAGAAGAATTCTCGCTCAATTAATATTCAGTAATTCAATGACCAAATCGTAATACTTGTTACGTGACACGTATTTTTCCTATTTAATTATTACTGCAGTCAGAATGAAAGATTATAATGTATATTTGCGTACAGTTTGTTTAGTACACATTTTAGGTTAGAATCAACTAAACCAAGTATCTATAAAAAAAGCATCGTTATTTTTAGAAGTTGCGGAATTTCACATCAAAGAAACAGTTAACCGAAATCATTCAGATATCCGAAAAAGGTATTAATTCACAGCAAACGAATGTCCACAGAACAAACATTGACCGATGCAAATTACAATTATCGCTTCCAACTCTGGATCGAACATGCGAATCGAATTATATACGCACGATGCATGAATTTCATATTTCAATTTACGCGATAACAGTTGAATCATTACCGCAATTACTATAATTATACATCGAATCTATCCACACGTGTACAGATTCGAACATAACCTGTATACATACATACTCGTCCAGCAAAGGTTAATAATCGAGCCTCGACTCGTAACTCCCTTGCGACTTGCAACAAAATTAATATCGAGATTTCTCTGTCTTTCCCGTAATTTCAATTTAATTATAGAAAGGGGGATGGAGGTTTCGTCCGTAACACCTACTCCCGCCCCTCCCACCTCCCATTCGCCTCGATCGATTTCGATACGCGTTTCCGTTGATACGTTGAAATCGGGTCTCGCGGCACGTAGGTATGCGTGTCAGTGCACTCGTGACCCATCTCGTTCTTCGATGACGTCATTCCCCGCTGGCGTAAACGTATGACGAATATGGCGCGCGGCGGGAGGGAGGAGCGAGGGTTGGAGGGCGGTAAAGGGGGGAGTGCACCGGGAGTGGCAGGAATCCTTCAACCCTTGAACGACCGAATTTCGAACCGCGTCCCCGGGGATTTCAATCTCTCCCCCGTCCTTCGTTGTCGTCGTCGTCGTCGTTCCTCCGCGCTCTTTCCTTTGTCTCGTTTCGCGGGCGGGGGGGGGGGGCGGGTTCCCGGCAAGATGGCCGCCCGGAAGTTGACCGGTTACCCGGCCGCCATTTTGTCTCGTATTTACGTTCACCTTTAATTCTTTGTACACTGGGTGACATAATTGTAAAACTACCCTGAAACTTTCACCCCTAATGCAATGTGGTTCAAATGGAAACGAACCACTTTTTTCTTGGGAATATAATCTATCCTTTTCTGGAGAAACATTGTTTCACAATAGGATTTTAGAGACGGCGTATTTGGTTCGGTTTTGTTGTAACCATTTTGTTTTAGGTGGTTTTATGTTAAACAGTGTTTATGTATGTTTTATGTGAGAGGCACTTCTGTGTCGTTGGAATTGTCACGTGGTTACGCTGGAGTTGTCGAACCCGATGTACCTATATTCTACAGCAGTAACGATATTGTTATTATCTTTAAAGGAAGTTTATGAAATTTTGAAGGGTGTTCTGAATATTGACCGAATCTAGACGGATTTCATGCCGCCAGTTTGTACGGATGGAAATTTCTCCAATATTTCATTCGTTAAAATTTATGTCGCCTCGTAATCTGGAATTAAAGTATACACAGGACTGTGAAATTAAAATCGTCACGCGATTGTATAATAAGTCTCTCTTCGTAATTTCCATAATTCTGCGATGTCGACCGGGTTTTATGCATTCGTGTACCGTGGCCGGTTTCGACGACCGGGGCAACGGGTGGGCACGTGAGAGGCGTCGAGGAAACGCGCGGACGCGTGCCGATTGGCATTAACCGATAAGAAGTGACTTAGATCGAGAAGGTGACGGACATTAGTCCGTAGAAAAAAAAGAAGGGTTGCGATTCAGCGTGTTCGATGAAATTCGAGAATCGGATGGACGACGACCGGAAATTTCCTGACCGTTCGTGTCCCCTGATCGGCTGTCAATTTTGCTCGATAAAATTCATATGATCGTCCGATTTGGCCGTAAACCTGATCATCATTCACGAGTAACAAATTTCAATCACTTTTTTTTTGGACAGAAATTGCAAATAAATTTAAAATTTAATTTTTACTTTACGGTCAGTTGGAAGGATTTACGTGTCCGATATAGCCAAGTTTTCCGTTCGATTTTCCCATTTCCTCGACCGGACTTGGTGGCAGTCTAGCATATGTATACGTACAAGTCCCATTTCCTTCTCAGAACTCGTATTTTTACGGAATCGATTAGCAGGCAACATAATTTCCGAATTTCGGAATCGTGATGGACGACGAGAAGAGGGGTAGGGGAGGGCCAATTAATCGGGCCGATTAATTAATCGGACATACCTTGATTCGAGTATATGGATCGCGGCTGCCATGTTTATGACGGCTGTGCCCGATGGAAACTTTATTATGCATAATAGCCGCGACGGGACGTCGTCCTCGCGGAAAAATGGATCGCGATAGGGCTGCTTGGCGCCGTGGAAAAGTCCTTCAATCGGTAATTTTTGGACATTAACACGGTAATACCTCGATGATGGGTCATCCGTTCGAGCGAGTACAATGATCAATTAGTTTTTTTTAAATCATTGTTGAACAGGATGAGGTATATATATTAATAAGACAGACTCTTCTTTCAAATTTGACCTGTGGACTAGGATCGAAGTTATACTGTACTTAATTTTCTAAACTTTATTATAGGATCGCTCATAGTATATCATTAGTCTTCGCAGTGGAAGGAAACAAGACATGGTATTTGTAACTAGTCAAGGAATAATGTAGTATCGAGACATTACTGTACTCAGTTCCCTCTAAATTCTATTGCAATTGTTCGTAGAATGCTACTGCATGTGAAAAGGGAGTCAAACGTCACTGAGCTGCTGCTTTTGAATATGAAGGGATTGATTAGTGTAGAAGTATTACTGTAATTAGGCGTCTGGAAATTTTACTGCGGCCACTAATTTCCCCTCTAATCTCTATTACAAACACCTACAGCATATAACAATCCATAAAATCGAGACAAAATGTCGTGAAACAAATGTCGAGGTATTACCGTACTAGGTCTCCTCTAATCTCTACTACAATCACCAACAGAATATTCTAGTTTATCAATAATACATCAGTAAAACTTCTGTGAGCCAACTATCGAAGCAGTACCGTACTTCGTCCTCTCTAAACTCTACCATTATCACTTAAAGAATACATTCTAGCCTACAAAACCGAGACGTACCATCGCTAAATTTCCTGTAAATTGCAACTAAGAGACAAGTATCGAGTCACTACCGTACTTCGTCCCAACTGACCTCAACTACAACCACCCATAGAATATCACAGCTCGTAAAACAGAAACGATACACAAAGGAATACAAATTTCAACAAATCTGCCATTATGGAGGCAGTACCGTGCTTCTATCGAGTACATAAATCAAAGAATCATCACCAAGCATGATCGAGACACCGCCACAGAACACGGATATCTCATGTTTCCCACCCCCAGTGGAACGGTTCCGACCCCCGGCGGTTTAACGATCGAAATCGTCGTTTATTTACCGGGCGGGCGGTTCTCTCGCGTGTGCGACGAGACGCTTCGGGAGCGTGTGCACGGTCGCGCGCGCGTTACGGCGGCCCGCGAGCATGCATCATCGACGACGCCGTCGGGACGAGGGAGAGATCGATAACGCGAGAACGCCGGCCAATAACGTCGACGGCGGCGTTGGTCCCCCGTGTCCCGTCGAAGAAAAAAAGAAAAAATAACAGAACAGTGATTCGCGTGCCGGTATAATAAATCCTCGAAGAGTGTTGGAAGGCTCTGACAAGGAGAGGTCCCTAGGTGTAACGGTGACTTTTCAATGAGGTTCACCACAACGATAGAGCGTAGAATTCTGAAGCTAATGATGATGGTTTTATGCGCATATGGCCGTTAGTTTATGACATATTTAATGATCAGTGTCCTAGGATTTTCTGTACCACGCATACACTATTCCTCTTTGGTCGCGTGATTATCCTCGCGACAACGGTCCAACCTAACCCGTCTAGTATCACGCCCCATCCCCATAATTTCGTCTGGGGATTCGATCGGCTCGTAGGATCCACCTTCAGAGCCCACCGCCACCTCCAGTTTTCGATCCAAGTGACGGAAAAAGAGCGAAAATCGAGACGAAAATCCTTGCTCAAGAGTTAGAGAGAGAAAGGGGACAGGAAACGATTCAATCTACTCATGGGGGGAGGGAAAGGATAACAATCGAGGGGGTGGGAGGCGAAGGGAAGATTCTCGTCGGTCCGCAACAGGCAATCGTGTGTAACCGGAACACGCCATGCCAGCCTGCGAACGATTAACGACCGCGAAACGGAGGAGAGAGAGAACGGACTTTGCTCACTGAAAGGGGGGGCGGCAGAGACGGAGCGATTCGAGAGCGAACAGGAGGGTAGGGGGAGAGGAACGACGAGCGAGGGAGGCGGCTGGAACGGGCCTGCGACGCGAGCAATGCACGGAATTACGGGATCGCGTGACGGGAAGCGTAAATCGGGAATAAGGAACCCGGAAGGGCAAATTGTAGGTGTCTAAGAGGTGGTTCCTCAGGTTTTGCACACCTTGGTACCTGGTGTGATCATGCTGTCCACGATAGAGATCTTTGTATAAGGGGTTGAGGGTTGAATGGTATCTCTGGGACCAGATCGTTTATCTACCATAGATTCTCTTTGACCTGTCAATCCTCCCAAGACCATCCATAGGGTGCCAGAGATAATTTTGTACACGGTGGGCAAGAATAAGGGGGTAGTGCAAATAGACAGACAGGCAGGTAATTGTCAGGGGGTCTTAGGGAGGACGCGCGTGTGGGCTAGGGAAAACAGACAGACAGGCAAGACAGGCAAAAGCGTTCATGGGGTGGTGGGGGGTGGTAGTTAGTTTGGCAGGCAAATTATAGAATTCAGGCAGGCGGTTTACCTCGCTTGGACGTGCTGTCGGCGGTGTTAATAAATCCAGGTACGGCAATCACGAGAACAAAGAGTCCACAGTGTAGCCAAAACATGTTTACGTCTTAACAACATTGTTTAATTCCATTTTACGTGACGCTCGTGAAACACTACTACGTAGGCGTTGGTGCTCATCGCGCGCATATTCTCCAACGGGATACTACCTGGTTGCCGGTCGGATCATGAGTACACGACTGACGGTGACTGGGTTACGGCGGGTTCGGGGTGTATATGGTAGATAGATAGATAGAGAGAGAGAGCGAGAGAGAGAGAGAGAGCGAGAGAGAGATAGGAGGAGGAAGAGGTGGTAACGTTATGGTTTGCACCGAGCGCAAGAAACAGAGATGGACGGATGTTGTGTGGATAGGATAGAGACGAGACAGCACGCAGAAAGAGAGAGAGAGAGAAAGAGAAGTGGGAGACAGAAAGGCTTTCAGAAAACCCTCATCTCATTGGAGAAACATGGAAGACAAATTTCGAAAAATTAAAGAAAGGACACACTAACGAGCTAGAGAGTACACGAGAAAGATAGAGAAGGGTGTGTGGTAGCAGAGAGAAGAAGACAGAAAAAAAATGAAAATGCAGAGCGGAGGTAGAAGGATATCAGGGCCAGGCGTGTATTAGGCGAATACGCGTAGCGAGACAGGAGGACAAACCGGCACCGACGGACGAGCAGAATACCGCGACGACGTTGCTGTCCTCCTAGAACATCGCGGAGTAATCCGGCCTGGCACACACGGACGTACACGCGATAATGCACCACGCTAGCGCACTACTTCCGCCGCGATCTCTGGCCCGTTCACGTCGAAGGATCGAACCCCCCTACTCGCGCGCGCCCAGAGAGAGAGTGAAGGTCCCGGTCTCGAATCACGCCTCGGCTGCCATCTTCTACCTACGCCGGGAGTCTGGAGTATGAAAATATTCTCTGCTGCCTCCTCTCTGACTCCCCACCCCTCCCTCCCCCCACTTCTACCGGGTTTCTCCTCCAGCGTACCTCCTGCCCTCTCTTCTCGCCGTTCGTGCCCTCCTTTGCGCGCCTCTGGTTACTCCCACCCCAGCCAGATGGAACGGACAGAGAGAAGGAGAGAGAGAGGAGTCTTCCTTCTGACGCTTCCCCTACTCGCTCCCGTCCTCCCAGCTCTCGCGCCGAGCGACGGGTTCTCCCCACTCTTCCACTACTCTGTCCTTCCACCCCCGCCACCCCCCGCAGCCTCTATCGCTCGCTTGGTTCGCCCGCGCGCACGGTACACCCGCGCAGAGCCACCACCGGAGCGTGGGACCACCTCTTATCGATTCCTGCGCCATTTCCCGTCATTCCTGTCAAATCAATAACTCCGCGTGTTGGTGGCGGCAGCAGCGGCGGCGGCGGCGGCCACCACCACCGTGGCTCCTTCTTCGCCACGGATCAGGCGCCGATACAGAGATGCGAAATCCCGTGGACGGTACCGACCCAACCCGCCGCCACCAGCCTACGTTAACTCTTTCTCCCTTCTGGGCTGTACCGTGATGCTGCTGCTGCTGCCAGTGGTGTGTCGCCTAGGCCACCATTTTCGCAATGGTGGGTGGGTGGCGGCACGATCACGAACCACCCGGTTCGCCCGAAAGATGGGACACTGGCCGCCTCACCTGCATCCCTGCATCCCTGGTTACCTCTGCCGGACCTCGTCGCCCGGACGTTGGCCCCTTGCGCGCTCGCGTTCATCCTCTCCCTCTACCCCTCTTCCTCACCCTCTATAGAAAGAGAGGGAGGGTACATTCCTCTTTCTTCCAACGACGGTGAGTTTTAGCCCCCGGCCTCTGTGTGTCCCTCTCTGGCTCACTTGCTTTTGCCTCCTTTCTGACGAGGCAACGTTACGCTGGACCGACTCCGAGCACCCTCCACGTGAGAATAATAATAATAGCGACGTCTTTAACGGGCCGGGGATACTCGATGAGACAGATTTTCCGTGGAATATGCGCTAGGCTGGCCAGGTGAGGTACCGAGAACTGGACCTTCTGGTGCACGAGGTAGATTGTCCTTGGGGTAGGTTGTGGCGACGTAGGCTGATTTGGGATCGACTGGTCTACTGGGAGCATGTATGGTTGACCTATTCTAGTTGTTTGCCTAGGCTGTCCTTTGTTCTAGTAGCTTGACTATGGCCATCACTCTACTTGCTTGAGTATATAGCCCTTCGTTCTGTTTGTATGGCTACATATATAACCTCATTCTACATCTAGGATCTGAGAAAGGGTTCTTCCAATGTTCTGACCGAGACAGGACCGACAGTCTACTTTTATCATTAGATATGGTCGACATGTGCCACTTGTCTGACAAGACAAGAACTCCACATCACTTATCTATTCAGATAAGCCTCTTATTCCATTTGTCAGACCACAAATAAATTCTTGATACCATTTTTCTAACCACACAAAATCTAATTCTCCTTCGATTAGGAGACAATGTTGCCTTTTCTACTATCAAGGTTTAAAGCAATCCCGAATCCATCCGTCTGAGCAGTGACTGTATTGATTCTACTGTTCCAATCAGTAGGACAACTCTGTATACTCGTCTAGCGAGACGCTGGGGTTGTGATCTTGACTTTACACCCGCCAGCGATCGTGGAAAGGGACCACGGGGATATGAGAGACGCGGTTCACCGAAGTAGCAATCCATCGATCGTGAGAAAAAAAAAGGAGAAGAAGGGAAAAACGAGCCTCTCGACGGACAAAAGATCGCCACACGCGAGAAAGTAGCATGTCTCCACTAGGGTCGCGCCAGAAGGAGCGGCTTATTCATGCTTTTTAGGCGCACACACGGCCGGGCATACAAGATCGAGAGGCTATTCAAGCCCGGCCTCAGCGAGCGACGGCTAACGAAATTTCGCAGCTTCTTAGCGGTACCGCGAGCACGACATCTCGTCTCTAAATTTATCCGGGAAGTGTGTGTGTCAGGGTACCACGGCACCCGTCAGATCGGTATTCGAAGCGCGCGAATCAACCTTCGTCGTGTCACGACAAAATTTATTACGCTTCGCGGAAACTTCCTCGAGGCCCCAGTCACTTCCAAGTACTGTACCACATCAATCTCGCGACGATTCCTATCTGTAAAGGCACGAGAGTATCTCAGATCTGAGTGCGTCTATCGATCACCGCATACTGGTAATTATAGATCGTCTGGTTTCTACATCTTGACGTTTTAATGATGAACAGTTGGTCCCCGAAGCTAACATTTAACAATAGCCCAGTAAAGAGTCAGGTCTCTTTTTGGCCTCGGATGCTGACTATTGATTCTCAAAATACGTGGACTTTGATTAGGAATCGATTGGTCTACTCTGCTGGCTTAGAATTGACCTTGTTTACTTGCCTGACATAGAATTGACCTCTTCTACTTGTCGGACACAGGACTGACCTCGTCTACTTGTTTGATATAGAATGAACCTTGTCTACTTGTCCGACCTAGTGAGATCCTCATTTTACTTGCTTCACTATACAGACTCCGTATCACTTGTCTGACTATATAAGCCTCCTTATCACTTCTCTCATCACATGTAATGCTATTTGATTAACTGAAATGGGCAGTGTCTTCGTTTCACTTGTCTGACTATACAGAAGATAAATTCGCAAAATCAACGAGTATTTTAGATCTGAATGTATCTATCGACATCTAGAAGTGGTAATTATAGAATGTTCTGTTTCTACGGTTCCACATTGAAATAACGAAAAATGTTTCATAATCCAGGGCCAAGCGGTCCGTTGCCACGCAAATCGTACTGAAGTGGCCTGGCAATCGACACAGCGAACATTCACACAGAGTGTCGAAGGGTTCGGCCCCGGCCAATTAAGCGAAATCCACGACTTTTCGAGTCTTCAGAAGCGCGTCGCACCGTGGCACGGAAAACGAGGTCCCCCGCCCACTCACGCTTGAAAATGCGTGGCACGGTGGTAATTGGCTCGATACTCTTGAATCAACGCGGAGTTCCGACCATTTTCCGAATATTACATTATAGAACCGTGTCATCGATTCCTGTAACGGTACCGAGCCCGTTTACGGAAAAATTCAACCACCTTGGAGTCTTTTTTCATGGGAAACGGCGAACACAGACGAATAGGCCGGGATATGTTTCGTGTCAACGGGGGAAAATCCTGACCGATCATCTCCCGTTCGAGGCTGGAATTGAACGGTTCTCTCGACCGGTGTATACGTACGTATCTCGCGCGGCTATTTATTACGGTACATGGTTCCACGATGTGTCCGCGGGTTTGGCAGCGCGTGGTGTGCGCACGTTTATAAATAGCCGGGTGCCTGATAGTATCGTTGGCCGGGGATCGTTCGAAGAACCAGAGAGGGAGAGAGAGAGAGAGAGAGAGAGAGAGAGAGAGAGAGAGAGAGACAATCTAAATACGCGGGTGGGCCAAGCGCGCGTGAATGACTCTTTCACGGGGCTTGAATGTGATCCCCCGCGTGCCTGGCGATCCACAGCCTCGGGGGACGCGCGCGCACACACACACACACACACACACACACACACACACACACACGTGTCTCTTTTCTTCCCTGGTTTGCGCAAATACCGAGGCGAAGAGACGAGACCGAGACGACGACGACGATGGCCCAGTCCCACTTGCCCATCGATACGGTTAAACCGTCCGCTATATGTATATACGGTGATTTCTTTCCCTGTATACATCCGGATCGTGCATACGTAATCTTTCCTTTTGTTGCGGTTTCCATTACGTCGGCACCAGAGGGTGGGAACAGCGTGTTGTAAATAATATTCTGCTATTCGAGACAGGGGAAATCTTGAGGAGAACGTAGACGGCAATCGGGATACGTGCTTGACCCAGTTGTGTGATTGAAAACGGGTTTTATACTGTTTGGCTGATTAATGAAGGGTTTATGCTACTTAGGGAACACGGAGGATTAGTGTGACTAGGAATAGGGCGTAGTGTATTTGTAGCGCGTTCGTGTCTGACCATATGTGAAACCTTGCTAATTCGGCTGACCATACGGGACACCTGTTATACTTCGTTTGACTATACGTGACGCCTGTACTACTTCGGCTGACAATATAGGATACATGTACTACTTCGTCTGACAATATAGGATACTTGTACTACTTCTTTTGACCCTATAGAATAACTGTACTACTTTGTCTGACCATATAGGATACCTTTGTTACTTCGTCTGACTATATGTGAACCGGTATGGTCATGGTCGGTCTGACCATACAGAATCCCATAATATTATATCTGATCATATACTGTCGTTTAAAAAATTCCTTTCAGTATACACGACCCCTACATAACATCGTCTGACCATATAAGAGACCCTTACTACTTCATCTGACCATATGGGATCTACATACCATTTCGTTTGACCATACACAACCCCATACCACTTTATTCGACTATATACGGTCCTTTAAAAAGTCCCTTTGAGTATACACGACCCCTACATAACTTCGTCTGACCATACACAACGCTATACTACTTTATCTGATCCGATAAGGTCCCTGCAAACGTTCATCTGAATACACACGACCCCAACATAATATCGTCTGACCATATGCGATTACGTTCTACTTCGTTTACCATATACAGATCCAAAAACATTTGTCTGGCCACAGACGAATCTATAATACTTTGCCTGACTATACAAAGTCTCATACTACCCAGTCTGACCATATTCGATTTCCATTCCTCATATTTCCTGGAAATAACTTATTTATCCTTATCTTGCAATTTAAAATAATCGGAGATCCAATTCTGTAGACAATATACATCCCATTCCCCCACGAATACAGTTGACTGAAGTATCCTTAGGTTTACTCTCGCCAATCACCCCAGTAACCCAATGTCATCCCGGAAAAAATCCTCTCCCGTATCCCCCCCG